CATCTGCAATATGCATAAGTCGTGAAACCGGGTTTAAAGTAGTTATCTGTTTTAAAAATGCTCAAGCATTTGCGCAGCCTTCACTGCACTCTTATTTCGTTTTGAGGATGCATAAATGGGTATTGATTTCTTGATGCCAGATGCACCCACCACTGGAGGTTCTCAGATACAGTGGAGCTGTAACCTGTTTAAGTGTCCCATGTGCATGACAGGTGTCTATATTCCTGTGTTGAAGAGGAACAGTGAAAACTGTTCTGAACGCTGAGGTTAATCCCTTGTTTAAATTTTGCTTGAACCGAAAGCCGGAAGGAGGTAGCTTGCTAGAGTTCGACATTCGTAATAATCTGTGCTAAAACACATAACCTTATAGCGGTGCTACAGACTTATGCGGAATCACATGGTCAGCAATTTGCTTTTATATTGACTAAAAATACTGTTTGCCCGTTTCTGTATGTGTTCAGTTGTTAGCCCTTTTGTTTAAGTGGAACTCGATCAATATTTTCAAAAATGTGACGCGAAGTTTTTGGTGACTACGAAGGAACTTTTGCCAAAACTTAGCACGGCGTTTCAAAGATCGAAGAACTCAATTTCGAAGGTATTATTGTTCTGTAGTCTTTGTTGTACACCAGAATTTCTGTTTATGCAGAAGGTATTTATTGCTGATGGCGAAAATCGATCTTGTCCATCACAGAATGTTGTGCAACTGGACGCTAACCGTAGCCAAAATGACGGGCTTGCATTACCCACAGTGACATTCTTTCCGAAGCAGGACATTGCGTTGCTTCTGTTTTCCAGTGGTACAACAGATTTGCCAAAAGGAGTCATGTTGACTCATTTCAACCTGACGGCGAGCATTCAGATTTTGGAAAAGTAACGACAATTTTGTCCTTTCGTTGATACAATTGGATTTACGTTTAGTCACTTTCTCCCAACAAGTCTGAATCGCCATTGGCCGCAGGTGGTTATCCTTCCTATCTTCCACGCATATGGCATTTGCACGTTGTTAAGTTGTCTCGTAGCTGGCTGTCCTTTGACAATCATGTCCAGATTTAGTATCGACAAATTTTTAAGCATACTGCGAGACCAAAAGGTATCGTGACTTTAAAAACGTTCCGTTCTTTTTAAATTTATACGCAACTATATTAGTAAATTTTTCGAACGACCTAACCTTCCAGATGTTTTTTTAGATCCAGCATGTTTTTGCGGTGCCTTACATTTTAAAAAGAATTACTAGTGACCCGAGGGTCCGGAACTATGATATTAGTTGTCTTAAAGCAATCACTAGCGCAACGTCACCCCTGCATGAGGAAACATATATGAAACTCCGTAAACTGTTTCCTCACGTAACCGCGATCAAACAAGGTAATCGATGTTTTGCTTCGAAAATTGAAAATATGCAAATTGTGCTCATAGCCTTTGGAATGACGGAAGTAATGGGTTCACACGTGAATCCAGTATTTCCTGGTTCTGAAAGAAAGCGATCTAGTATTGGTATGTTGCTGCCATGTTACGAGGCCAAGGTAAGTCAAATGGCGCAAGTTCAGAAGTAAAGCTGAAACTTCATTCGATCATGCTCATAGGTGGTCGATATTTCAACAGGGGCAGAACTAGGGTGCAAAAAGCATGGCGAAATTTGTCTGAAGACTCCAACTGCCTGTGCTGGATACTATCAGAATCAAGAAGCGACGTCCGTTTTATTTGACAAAGAAGGCTGGCTACACACAGGTAAAATATTAAAGCGCAAGTCTAAATTTTGCCTGCTGTAGCATAGCTTACCATTTAATTGAAATAGACATAATGATGTTCAGGCAAATTCCATTTTCTGTGCAGTTTTCAGAACCAGTATAGGTGCTTCACTATCCAAGCACAGCAAAACGTTTCGATGAAGGAACATCTTCCAGCTTCCGAAAGCTCCGCTCATAATACGCAAATTTTCTCAGAATTTCAATCAGTTTGTCTTGTGCTAAGACCTTCACAAAGTTACTTGCAAACAATCTTCAAGAAATGCCGGACTCTAAGCATCCAAAGGAACTAGAGTAAAATCAAGGTTCAGAAATGGATTTCGTGCGATGGAGCATCATCATACTGTACAGCAAGTAATTCAGAGAAGCAGCCAATATGAGCTATTTTTTATTATTTGGGAATCGTTAATTTCGAGAAGATCTTTGACTCAGCCCACATAAGCCAACGTTGGATGGCTTGAGGATTCAGAGAATTTAGAAAAGACGCATATACCTCATCGCCATAATTTACAAAGGTGCAACCGTTGGTTCTAAGCTTCAAGGAAGCAAATGAATTCAAAATCTTAAAGGAGATTCAACAAGGAGATGAAATGTCACGGAAAGCTTAGACGATGCTTGAAGAAGTTTTAGGACGCTCAATTTAAAAAATGAGCGTTGGAAGAGAAATGGGCGCTGCTCAATCCGCATGCAGTTTCTCGAAGATATTCTGATTTTGTTAGGTCAACCAAGTAATTCAAGGACGAATTCTAGAGCTAAGCAAGCTAGAATCAAAGCCAGACTGAAAATAAACCTGAAGAAAAGTTTGGTGATATTTCACAAATTTATGACCTCGCGATCTGTGAAATTCAACGGATTTAGGCTTCAATAGGAAAAAGACCCTATCTGGAGCAGCTGATCGCTGCAACGAAGAAGAAAAACCATGTGAAATTCACAGAACAGCACAGTGGCATCGAACTCTTTCGACTGTGAAAAAATACCTTTGTGCCCTAAACGGAAGGATTTCTCTCAATGCATGCTTCCAATGCTAAAGGATGATACGGTATATATGAACCCTAAGCATCAAATTGTTAAATATCTACAGGCAGCGCAACGCAGCAAACGTCAGGGTCAGTCATTTCATTGCAGAAGCGAAGAATCTGAAATCGTGATGAACAGGACACTTTCTATCGATGGGTAAAAAACATGGTAAACTGGGTTCCAAGTGGTAGCAAATGAGAGCTTTGTGAGGCAACCTTCTGGCCGATGGCAAAATCTGCTTAAAAAATGTTTTGGAGCAACGTTGGTGAAAATCGTAAAAGTCAGAATTTTGTGGCAAAATCTTGT